ATTTGGCTTCCTACCACACTCCATGCCTGTGCAAGTTCAATAATACCCCAACTCCCAGAAGGCCAGACAGGGGATAGCCCCTCCCATTAAGAGGTTGCTGGACTTTGGGATATTATTTCCTTGTCAGTCTCCATGGAACCCCCCATATCTGCCAGTACAGAAACCAGGGATGTCATATTACAGGCCAGTTCAAGACTTGAGAGAAGTTAACTGGCAAGTGATAATTCTGCACCCTATTGTCCCAATCCACATACCTTCATTACTTTGCTGTCTCTTGAGCACATAGTGTATACTGTGATAGATTTCAAGGATGCTTTTTTTCAGGGTGCCCCTTGCCCCAGCTAACCAGCCTATCTTCACCTTCCAGTGGACTGACCTACTTTCCAGTGACTCCTGCCAGCTCACCTGGACATGACTACTTCAAGGATTTAAAGAGGCACACAACCTGCTTGGTGAGGTCCTCCAGAAGGACTTCATGAGTTTTGGAACCCCCTAACCTAACCTCACCCTGCTTCAATATGTGGATAATTTGTTATAAGCTGCTACTAGCTATTCAGGATGCCTGCAGGTGACATAAGAGCTTCTTTAGCTACTAAAGGAGTTGGGCTAACATGTCTGGGTGAAGAAGGCAAAACTCTGTGGCTCTAAAGTATCATACCCGGGGTATGAAATCTCAGAAGGAAGAAGACATTTGTCCCTCACCAGGAAAAGGTCTATCCTCCAGATATCCAAAACAACTACCAAGAAAATGTTACAAGAATTCCTAGGTGCAGCTCGACGCTGTTGCCTACTGATATCCAGGTGTGCTGGGATATTTCAGCCCCTCCATTCTGCCTCTGGAGGAAATCAACCACTAGAATGTGGAATAGATGAAGAAAAATCCTTCCAGAATCTGAAAAGAGCTGTGGTATCAGCCTCAGATATGGCACTACCTAATGTTGCTAAGCCTTTCCATCTAGTCATAAATGAGTTAAGAAGGCTTGCTAAGGGAGACCTAATGCAGTCGTTTGGACTCTGGAAGCAGCATGTAGCCTATCTAAGATCAGATCCTGTGGCCTCAAGTAGCCTTCATGTCTTTGGGGGTTAGCTCCCACAACTTTATTGGTCAAGGAAGCTGATAAGTTGACCCTCGGAGAGGGCTTAGTCCTAACTGCCCCTCATTCAGTAGAGACTCTGCTCTGGGCTGCTACTACCAAATGGATGTCAAATGCCCACCTCACTCAGTATCAAAGACTCTTGCTCTACCAGCCTCACATAGTCTCCTGAGCAGGACAAGTTCTCAATCCAGCTACACTAATGCCAGATGATGACCCTGACATCCCAATTCACAATTGTGAGCAGGTGCTGGAGCAGATCCAAGGGGGGCAATCAGAGTTAAGAGACACTCCATTGGGTGGGGCAGATGCAACACTCTTCTGAGATGGAAGCAATATGGTGGTAAGTGGGGTGTGGAGGGCAGGGGCTGCAGTGACTACAGTTGATCAAGTCATTTTTTCCAGCCTCTGCCCTAGGGAACCTTGCCTCAAAAGGGAGAACTCATCGCCTTGGCCCAGGCCTTGAAATATGAAAGGAAAAGATAAATATGTTCACTGACAGTAGATATGCCTTTGTTACTCTACATGCTCATGCTAGCATTTATGAGAGAGGACTCTTAACCTCTGCAGGAAAGACTACCAAGAACAAAGAGGAGATATTGTCTCTCCTATAAGTGGGATGACTTCCCAAGAAGGTACCCACCATTCATGTTCAGGTCACCAATAGCACAATACACCTGAAGTTAAGGGAAATCAACTTGCAGGCCATGTAGCCAGAGAGGCAGCCCTGAGGCCAGCTGAACCCTTAGTCATTCTGCCTATGGTGAGTCCTCCTCTCACTTTGCTCATGGCTAGCCCCACTTACAATGAAGAGGAAGATAATGAAGTAAGCCAGGTGCAAGTAAAGAAAGATCCCCAAGGCCAGTGGAAATGTCCAGATGGTCGATTCTACCTTCCCCAGGCATTAGGACAGCAGCTCATCTAGCAGCTACATTAGGTCAAGAACCGGGGCCCTACAAGATGTCAGAGCTTCTAACTCCAAGATATTGTTTTTCAATACTGCAGGAGCAGGCCTCTCTTAGGTGCCCAAACTGTGTACAAGTAAATTCCTGCTAGTGCCCGTTTGCACCCCTTGGAATCAGATTCCTGGGTTGGAATCCTGTAGAAGAATGGGGAGTGGATTTCACAGAGATCAAACCACCAGAGTGTGGATATTGTGCACTCCCCACTAACCTGGCATGGTTCTGCTTCTGTAAAATTCTGCTTGCTCTCCTGTTGAGCCCTCCCCAAGAGAAAGCATGATTTACAAGGAGAAATCAAAACATTTCTCTTTGCTGAGATCCATTTCTGGGCACTAGGTTATTGGCTTTAGTAAACAGATTCAAATCTGATGCAGAGTGTGGCACATCTCTATTGTTCTAAATCATTCATATATAACATTTGTAAGCATGGAGAAACACATGGAAAGTCACAAAAATATCAAACAGCAGTATGAGGAAAGAAATCTATGCTGAATTTTCAAGTGTATGCTCTTTCTGTGATATATGCCTGTAATCTATATATGTCTTTTCTGTAGCAGATGTACCTGGGCCCTGTGATCAATGAGGCACCCCAGCCCCCACAAAAGACCAGAGCAAGCAAGGATTATTTTCTACAAGTGACAGGGAAGTGAAATGGCTATTTGTATTTTCAAGGATATAAATTGCCAGGATTCACTTGATATGATGTCCTGTGTTTGTAATCCCACAACCCCAGTGCAAATATGGCTTCACTCTTTACTATCTAACATCCTACTACATGTTACAGTAAAATGATAGGCTCTTCAGTTTTCTGTAAGAAGATAATTAGTTGGGCCCTTATAACCCTAAGAAGAGTTAGCACATGAAATGAAACAAGCTAAATAGAATATTTTACTCAGTAACTGAATTTAGGAAGTCCTAAGAAATAGTTTATAATGATATGGTTGAAGACTTCATCTTACATATCTTCATGATAACCATTCCAATCCTTTTGGAGTACAGAGAAATCAGTTCAGTAGGACACGTTTTCAATTTTGAGAGGTGAGAAATCAATTCAAAATAGAACCAAGGTGGTTAGGAAGCAAATTTTGATTGAGGTTTTTGATATCCACACCACAACTAGGAATAGAAACCTCACTTCCCTCATAGCTATAGAGGGAATATGTTTCAAATTAGTTGGCTCTCATCTAGCTACTAAAAACTGCCTTGTTTGTGCTCATGAGAAAATAATTTTTGCAAGATTCTCATCTACATCCCTGGGCTCCCTCTGCACTTATTGATTTATGCTCCATCTCTGCTGGGTCATGAGCAAGGACTGCAGAAAAATCTCCCAGGTCTGGTTTCCAGTGAAGGCTCAGGTTTTGTCCCTGGGATGGATAAGAATATGGTGTCAGATGAAATCTTCCTCATGGACACAACTCTAGAAGACGAGACTCAGGTTGAAAAAAACTGGACTAAAACCACCAATTGAAGGGCTAAAGGCACAAGCAGATTACTATTATATTACATTAAAAGCTTGGGGCCAGGGATTTAGCTCGGTGGTTTCCCTGCCTGCTGCACAAGCACAATGATCTGAGTTCAATACCTGGTACAAAAAACAAAACAAAACAAAACAAAAAATCCTAAATGCACAGCACTCATAATTAGTCAAATGAGTCAATGACATCCCAATCACTGGGGAATTCCTATTATTAAGGATAAGAAGAGGAGAAAGTGAATGTCTTTTTTAAATTGTTTGAAAGTGAATGTCTTTGATATGTCTTTGGTTTTTCCTCAAATCAGGCAAAATTTTCATCTGTGATAGTGACCTCTGCAACTACTACCCGATTTTTACAGATTGCCCTATTTTTTATTTTCATTTTTGTTGGAGGAGAATATGCATAAAAACTTACCATTATAACCACTCTAATAACACATTTTACTGGAGTTAAATTCACAGTGTTGTAAAACTGTCTGTATCATAAATACAACAAGTTTTCATTTTTGAAATTGAAAATTTATACTGTTTTAAATTTCCCTCTTCTTCATAATATAAAAGTCAGGCAAAAGCAAATCCAACATGAAAATAGTAAGACTGCCATAATGGATAAATTTGAGTCATTTTTAGGAAAAT